GGTCTGTAATGTCATCTCGAGACCTCAGTGGGGTGCGCCGCGCGCGAAGTGGGCGGGGTAACCTAGTTTCGACGGAAGCGCGGAACGGACGTTTACCCGAGTATGGGTAAAGTGGTTCGTCCGGGGTTGCTTGCCGCAAATTGTGCGGCAGGATACGCTGCGATTTGGACGACTTCGCCGTTTATCGCTGGGGCGAGAGTTTGAAGAAGGATAGCTCGGTTGGAGGTTGTTAAAAGGAGTTTATTCATTGCAGTAGGTTGCCTCGGTGCTGATTCTACTGCCTAACTTTTTCGTCTAACTGTTCCTCTTTTCACCACTGTAGTAGTCATCACGACAAATGTGTGGTTCAGGAACAAAATTTGGTTATTTCAAAACTTTGAGGTTTTGGATCTTTTTCTTCGCCCTCCCGCCCCAAACTTCTAGCCGGAAGAAATAGCGACAAGTTTGGCCGAACACTTATCTCGTCAAATCTCTTTATTACTGATGTTGTGCTCTTGGTTGGTCGGGAAGGGCAGGAAGCTTTATTAGAAGCCATGAATGAATGTACATCAAAGTTACAGTTTATATACTGCTCCGGCCCGCCAGATCTCCTGGTCAAACCGGTCAGATCAGAACGATACAATATTATTTACCCCACCAATTGCTAGCTGAATGCCTTACGTTAGAGTCAATATGATTAGATTTGGACACTTTAAGTATATTGAGAACTTACACTTCTCTGAATCTTTATTGTGGGCGGATTGCTTTTGCATGCCGAATGGCAGTTTGATAGATTTCTAGCTCATCCGAACAAAATATGCTGATGTTGAGTATTTCGCTTTGTTGGCGTGTTTAATGTGAAGCGGAACTCCAGTGCAAATGCAGTCTTGAATCATATACGTCCCTGGTGAGTAGAACAGGCCCATTTCGTCCCTCATGGTAAATGAATCTACGGATCTCCTGCACTGAAGGTTCTCTCTCACTGAAGGATCCCAGCTGGTTAGCGACGAGGCTACGTAGGGCATACCCAGGAAGATTAGGAAGTTAATCGCCGACCAAAAGTCAGTCAGTACTTGCCCAGAGACGCAAAAGGATTCAGGGGATATACTCCTCGATTCTGCTGTGCTGGTCGATATGCCTTCTGGTTCCCGCAGGCGTACTCACTCATACGTGTGTGGAGGGTCTGTGGGTGTTGGTATCCTGCCCTTCGACTCAGACAAAAGCTTGCATTCAAGTGACTGGGAAGTATCTGAGGGGCGACTCGGGGCCGCCTCGAAAACAAAGCCCCTCTTCCACTTAGGGGTGGCCTGGAAGCCCCGAAGTCAACCAGTCCCCATGGGTATCCATCCTCCAAAAACAGTAATAAAAACGGGCCTCATTTTCCTGAACCTGAGGGAGCCCCAATACGGCAGCGTTGTGTAGGACCGCTCGAGGGAGGCTGCTAAAATCTCAGAGCCAAAACAGGCTACCCAAAAGGAGAAAGACTAAGATGGCGATCTGTACTTTCAACGCACGGACGCTTGCATCTGAAACGTGATTAGAAGATCTGATGATGCAAGCTAGAAAGCTCAAGTACGACATTATCGGACTGATTTAGACGAGAGGGCATCGCCCGCTACACGCTGTATCTGAGACTGGAGAAGAACTGATCCTTGGAACATGCGATAGGAGAGGCGTCGGCGGTGTACATAGATGTCCTCGTCGACACGCACTTGGCCTTGAACTTCGATTCATACTAAAGCTCAACAACCCGAATCGGACGTCTGCGATTGAGAAGATGTGGCTCAGCCCCAGCTCTAACAATCTTTGTTGCTTACGCACCAACATCGAGCTACGACGAAGAAGAGCTGCAGGCCTTTCATGTGGATTTGGAGAGGCTCTACAGAGGGGACCACACTCTCTTCAAGGTTAGCTTCGGTGATTTTAACGCAAAGATTAACCTCAGGAGAACGGCTGGTGAGCTCCACATCGGGACTCACGGAATGGAAATGGGATGTGCAGGAAAGGCTGTCTGAGTTTATAATGGTCCCACACTATCCATGGTAACTCGCAGTACCAGGAGTCCTATCATTTGCGATGGACATGAGAGTCATTCGTTCGACAATTCCATAACGAAATCGACCACATTATCCTCAATTAGAGATTTTGCCTGACTGACGTCGCTGTTGTTCCGAAGTTCTACACGGGATCTGACCATCGTCCCATCCGCGCTAGATTCTGCTTCTCAATGCGTGGAGAGAGAGCTATGGAGTTTAGGAAACGAAGCCCTGACAATGAGACCTTCATCAACTGGGACCACTTGGCTTCACTTGCTAGTGAATGGGAAGATTCCATTATCGACAACATCGATGAAGAATACAACCGGCTCGTGGAACATCTTCACGATTGTACTAGGAAAGCAGCGAGTCTGTAAGTAGCCAAAAGGCGCCCCCTTCCAAGACTCCCGAAATGTTACGCCAGCGTGGAATCGCGCGAGCTGCAGGCAATCATTAATGAACTCTGAACCTGCGAAGCTATGCAGAGAAACTATAATGAAAGATCTGAAATGAAGAAGAGCAGCAATTCGGAAAGAGCATTCGCGAAGCCCGACGGAGTTTCGCCAATTACTGGACCGAGATGACTTCCCCTCGTTGTTCTGATGGACGGACGGAAGTTACTGCATCTCGAAGATCAGTGAAGAAGAACATCCACGAACTCGGATCTCCTCGACAGTCTCGTCTTCCTGCCCACCCACCATCTTTGGCAAGACGATTATATCACTCCTGCAGTTCTCCCTTTCGAAATTCGACATGCCATCACGTCGATGGAGAATTGTACGGCACCCGGTCCCGATAGGATGAAACTAGAACATCTGAGCAGTTTTTCAGCAATTATCGTCGGAACTCTGGCTAGGATCTTCACGCGGTACCTGTCCGAATGCAAAGTGTCAACGTCGTGGAAAATTAGCAAGACTGTGTTGCTGGATAAGAAGGGAGATTCGGACAATATTGGCAATAATCGTCCAATCTGCCTGCTGTCTTAATCTACAAGATTTTCACTCGCGCCATGCTGAACAGGATTAGCAGAATATTAGATGAAGGACAGCAATGCGAGCAAGCAGGTTTTCGGAGAGGGTTCAGTACCCCGATCACACTCTAACACGATTCATCGAAGTATTGTGAGAATACAAATGCCGTTATGTCTTACGCTCATCGATTTGAAAAAAGCCTTTGACACCGTTTAGAAAGAAGCGGTAATTGAAGCCCTGGGCAACCAGGATGTTCCTACTCAATATATAAGGATGCTTCGTGAGCTCTACGAATATTGCACGACAAGGATTTCACCATTCTGCAAAGAAGTCATTACCAACGTGAAGACAGATGTCCTGCAGGGCAATACCATTTCGCCCAAACTTTTCAGCGCCGCTCTCTAGAATANCATGCGTCATTTGGAATGGGAAGACTTCGGTGTGAAGGTCCACGGCCCCTATTTACATCTCCTCCGCTTTGCAGACGGCATCGTGATCAGAACACCGAGCATCGAGCAGGCGGAACGAATGCTGGCCGAGTTTGACAGTGCTTGTGGGAAAATCGGCTTGAGACCGAACTTAACGAAGTCGATGTTCATGAAAAACGGATTGGTACCTAATACTCCCTTCACGCTGAAGGGAACGAGTATTCACGAATGCTCCAGCTATATGTATCTAGGTTTTGAAGCCAACATGATGAACGACCTAGCTCCGTAGCTGTGCAGAAAGAAACGCGCAGCGTGGGGAGCAGTTAAGAATATCGAGGGAGCAGCGAAGAAGAAAAAGAACATACGACTCCACGTTCACCTTTTCGACCTTGCTGTCCTTCCTGCTCTGACGTACGCCCCAGAGACTTGGACTCTACGAAAGCAGGATGAGCATGTTGTCAGCGTCACTCAACGCGCTTTGGAAACAGATGCTCCGAATCTCCAGTGCACGCATGTGGAGAAGAGAATCCGGAGTTCCGAGCTCAGTCATCAAACGAAGATCAGGAATGCCGTTGGCTGCGCCAGAAAATCGAAGATCAAGTGAGCCGGGCGCGTTATGCGATATAGTGATGGCCGTTGGACCAAGAAGATTACTGACTGGATCCATCTTTACGTCAAACGAACCGGCCTGATTGCCAGACTTCTTCACGAAAGCTCTGAACGAAAGGAATGTTGGTCCTCGTGTCCCTGAAGCGAGGACGATTCACTGAGCCACTCTGGCTCGTGACAGGGACGAACGGAGACGTTACTAGCGCCCGCTCGAGGAATTCGAGTATCATCGGTACGACAGGTGATACAGGTGATGATAAGTGAATTACCGTTCATAAATGAAGCAGTTGTTAAACAATCACCCTGCAAATTTACGCCCATGCATCAATTCAAACTTAGCGTACAATTCATCAACAGTTCGCGAGGTAGTCGCATAGTTTTGTACAATTTTCTAGCTCTATGCTCTGTATATTCTATGTTCTTTATATCGGCTAGAAATCCCTGTCTGAAGCAAGGACTAACGGCCGTTGGTAAACCTCCAAGAGGTGGCTCCTTCTCCTAACTCCACGACCCACTTCTACTGGTAAGGCACTTGAAGCCGGCAAAAGCGATAGACCCTGTTAATCCTTCGGTTTTTTGCGTATATTTTCCGCTATTTCTTTTTTTTTCTAGAAGGTCGCGACACCTCTACCTTCATGGTGACGATGAGTTCTACTGTGACTGTTATGGAAATTTTGGTGGAAGGCGTGAGTTCAATCATTTGCCGTTTATACTTCTTGTGTATCAGTGGTGTTCGTGTTTAGGGCGACATTACCGAAGAAATCGAAAAAATGATTAGGAGCTGTCACTTATCTGTAGTTGGACAAGAAGGCGACAAAGAGGATGGGAAAAAAGTTTCCGTCGAGGATGGAGCAAAAAACGTGAAAGAGACTCAAGAAAAGGTCTTTGCTAAGAATGAACAAGACAAAAAAGAAATCGGAGTTCAAGTTTCCGCTAAGATAGATGGAGAAGAAGGTGAAATTGCCGAGAAGGAAGTTTCCGCTAAGGATGGAGATTTAGGCGGAGAAAAGGATGGAGATAAAGCTTTCGCCGAGCATGAAAAAGCAGATATAGAAGAGAAGGTCTCCACCGAAGATGGAGATGAAGGAGAAAAAGAGGTCGTTGAAATTGTTGCTGCTAAGGATAGCGAAAAAGGTGAGAAGGAGATTGGAGAAAGTGTTCCTGCTAAGGATGGAGAGGGAGACGGAGAAGAGCCCGCAGAAAATGTTTCCACTAAAAATGGCAAAGAAGGGGAAAAACTGATCGCACAGAAAGTCGCTAAAGATGGAGAAGAAAACGGTGAGGAGAATGAAGATGAGGTTTTCGTCAAGGATGAGGGAGAGGGAGAGAAAGAGGTCGTGGAAGGTGTTGCGGTCAAGGATGACAAAGAAGGCGAAAAAGCTACCGCAGACAGTGTCGCTAAGGATGTAGAGGAAGGCGGAGAAGGTAATGGAGATAAAATTCCCACCAAAGAAGGGGAAGAAGAAGCGGAAGAGGTCGTAGAAGTTGTTCTCGCTAAGATTGTAGAAAGAAAAGATGAAAAAGTTCTCGAGAGGAACATTTCCGCCGAGGATGGAGAAAAAGACGGAGAGGAGAATGGAGATGAAGATCCTGCTAAAGTTGGAGGAGATGGTGCAAAAGTGACTCCAGTAGATGTCGTTAAGAATGGTGAAGAAGGCGAAGAAGAGAACATCGAATATACTCCCACCAAGAATGGAAAGGAAGGCGAAAAAGGGATGGGTGACTATATTTTTGTTAAGGATGAAAAAGCCGAGGGAGCAACCGGAGAGCATATTTTCGAGGAGCATGAAGAAGACGATGAAAATATGTTGGGAGATTATGTTCTCGGTAAGGATATATTTAGAAAATGTTGGAAAGCTACCAAAGATAATGTTTTCTTTAAGAACAATTGCGAGATGAATCCGAATTCTAAGGAGAACGACGGGATATATAGTGAGTGAGGTGCTGTAACTGGAGTTTGCTATGGCCGTGTTGTTGTTGTTATGGGTAGCCTTCTGTTTTGCTGTACTGAGTAGATACTGTATTATGTTGTGCTGTTCTGTATGTTATGTTCTGTATCATGTTTTTTGATAAACTTGTGGAAGAGTGTCGGTTTTAATAGACAGCACTTTCGTTTTGAAACTTTTGATCCGCATTTTAACAGACACGGTAGTACTCATGCGTGTACCCTTGGTTCTTTAGGTGAGATGAAGTGTCCAACTATGAAGGGTGTGGTCAGTTCTCTCTGATTCTCGCGTCTCGCCACATCCGATCGCGAGATGTGAACGGGAGGGCCTAGTGGAGGACATGATACGGTAACCGAGTCATTGCCCCATACCGTGGGAATTCGGGAAGTGCCGCCATCCAACTGACTTGAACAAATGAAGCTAGAATTGTGTGGGTTGCCCGAATATTTAGAGAGGTGAAGCACTTGGGAATGTTCTCTCCTTCGTTGCCATTTTGAAAGGTCATTTTGCAAAAAATACATCTTTTTGGAGGTAGGTGACTGTATATTGGCCAACCACCGCAAATCATTGTATGGACCACACGTGCCACTACGATCCTGAATTGAAGATGAATGTGAGAGCGCACACTTCAGAGGGGAATAATTGGCTTTCATCGCACAATTTTCCACCTTATCGTCTATTTTTCGTCATAATCTGGATTACCCAAAGTGTCGTGAACTAGGCCATTAAATTACTCGAAGTTTCACCTTGGCAAAAGCCTGCATCGTCACTGCTCAATAAACCACTCCCCTCCTGAGAGTCACTGGCTTTTTCAATTGCGGTCGCCGCCTGACGATGTGGACCAGCCAATGGCAACTAGCCATGAGTGGAGACTGGCCACTCATGGGGCAGCCGACTACCGTGTCACCTAGCTCTGCGCGTCGCGGCGAGATCGAGCGCTGATAATAAGCCTGAGCTCTAACCAAAGAGGGGTAGTCTACTTATCTTGGAACTTTGAATGGAGACCCAGATGAATCGATAGAGTTTTGAACGTTGTGTACGAAAATGGAAATTTAAACTGCAAAATGGTTCTCCTTAAAAAGTTATGGGGGCCCGAATTTTACTCGACAGTAGTATCACTTGGATATGCGAACTCGTCGCTTCGATATCAAGTGCCAACGTGCACTCGTAGTAGTGGTCTTGCTTCATGGGCGTAAGATGAGGGTTTGCTCTCCGCCATCGTCCGCATTTTTGCAAAGTGTTTTTTCATTCCATCAAGGGCTACCTAAAGGTTTCCTGACATTTTTCCAGTGAACACCTCATTTCTGCTTTCATTTTCTTTCGTCGACCTATTCAAGGAAAGTTGTTCTGCACGTTGATAGTATGACTCTTTTTCATTTTGACATTCAAGGAATTCGAAATCAATCCTGTTGCATCCCGTTCGGTCTTGAGACGATTGACTGTTTTGTCACCGGATGTAGAGAATTAGCATGCATAAGGTGTGCAGTCTGTGGAGAACATGTGTGCTTCACGGATTTTTTACAATTTTTCCATCAATGTTGAGTTCCTCGCAGGCGTCTTACACATCTATGGTAACTTTCTGTTGAATTTTCCTCGAATTTCAAAATAAAAGAGTCATACTATTAACGTGCAGAACCACTTTCCTTGAATAGGGGCGACGAGAGAAAATGAAAGCAGAAATGAGGTGTTCACTGAAAAAATGACAGAAAACGTTTAGGTAGCCCTTGATCGAATGAAAAAAAAAACTGCAAAAATGCGGTTGAGGAGCAAACCCTCATCTTACGCCCATGAAGCAAGACCACTACCACGAGGTCTCGTGGGCACTTGATAGCGAAGCAACGAGTTCGCATATCCAATTGATACTACTGCCGAGCAAAATTCCGGCCCCCATAACTTTTTAAGGAGAACCATTTTGCAGTTTTAATTTCCATTTTTGTAAACAGCATTCAAAACTCTACCGATTCATCTGGGTCTCCATTCAAAGTTTCAAAATAAGTAGACCACTCCTCCCTGGTCAGTGCGCTCGGGAACTTCAACTATCAATCATTTCCTTACACTTACTCTGAACGAGTACCGAATTTATGTGATGCACTAAACGTGTCAAAATACCAGAAGCTCACAGAATACGAGTCATCACTCTTGTTTGCTCTTCTTTCTTCTTGAATCCGGAATGCTGTGCATTCATGTTGTGCTAGTGCAGCAGACTACGTAGCGGTACAAAAATACAGTAAAACAGCCAGAAAATAAAACTCTCTTACCTGTTACATTACCTGGGAGTCAGAAGTGAAGACAACAAACCATTCATGATAAAAACAATCACTCCAGGCTGCACGTGTGAAGGATGATTTTTCAACCCTCATCGTCTTCACTTCCCAGCATTAAATTAAAAGCGCTGTCGCACGCGAGAGGATAACCAATAAAATTCGGGATGTCACGGATATAACAGTTGATACCAAGTAAAGCAAAGTGTAACGGACACCATGTTTGATTTCGCGAAATAACTTCAATACACACAAGCTGATTCCTGTCGCCGTAAAAAATTTTTTATCTGATCTCTCATCCGATTGTATTGAGCTGCAACTGGGCGATTCAGCCACGAATACAGCCTGGCTGTTTTTTATTCCATCCGCGTGCCCGTCCTAGGTAGTCTTTCCTGTCTTGGGAGGAGCGAGCGCGATAGGCGACAAGCGGGTGACTCTTTGTGCATTGCGACCAACCACTCACGCGCACCTGCGACGCCGCAAGTATGTAGCCGTTTCTGTTGCCTACTGCCTATCTGCAGCCTTCATCCCGATCCTTCGAGCATTTTGCTCAGAAATTTTCACTACCATCACTTAGCTTCACTCCATATCTACTTTCATACTCACAAACTGACGGGTCTGAACTAAATAACTTCCTCTAATTTCAATAATCACTGCCGTAATACCAGTGAAATCTACCGCGGTTTTTGTTGAACAATATAGCACTTGGTTGCGACATGTTTCCAAAATGAAACGTTCCCGAAATGTTGATGCTATAAATAATTATGGCTATAATTGGAACCTGCAACACTTCGATTATGTTACTTTCTCCATCTTCATAATCGAAGTGTTGCAGGGTGCTAAGTGGGTTGGGGGGAACCACGCGTCGCGGCAGGCGGCGCGGCACCCTGCCGAAACGGTGTTTAGGGACGTTTCATAGTTTTTTATGTTGTAACTGTGTATTTTTCACCTAATTTTAAGAAGGGGGGGGGGGCTCCGGGGTGAGTGAGCCAATTGGACGTCCACCTTTTATCTCATCTCAGCTTTTTACACGTGACAACCATCTCACCCACACCCGAAGCCCCTCCCCTTATTA